CACGATCTGGAGAGTGCCTGGACTGGCCACTGGTGTCCCTTCTTCTCGTTCCTTCGGCCCTGGTGCGCTCTCGTTCTCGCTCCCGCTCCCGTTGCCGTCGTCTGTAAGCTTCTGTAATCTTCCGACTCAGCTCATCGTTCCGGCTCAGGTCGATGTTGTCCAGATCGAGCCCATCCAACAAGCCCTCTTCCTGGATTTGTCTAGCAAAATCCTCAATTTCCTTCTGCACGTCGCGCTCGCTCAAATCGCTCGAGCTTATGAGTGATCTGAGTGACGACTGGTGCTCGATTTGCCGACGCCTCATGTCGGATGACTCCTGGGCACGCTGTCTCGACTCACTCCTTCGCTGTCTCGACTCACTCCTTCGCTGTCTCCTTTGCTCGCCCGACCTCGAATCCGGCTGCAGCTGGTCCCCAGTAGGCCTCCCTTCGTCGTCCCGCGGTCTCCGACTGCCCTCATGTCTGTGAATGTGGCGGCTGTCCCGACTGTGGTCCCGGCTCCGTCTGGTTCGTCCATCGGCAGAGCTGCTGTCCTCTCTACGCCGTCGATGTCGATGTCCCGAGGAAGAGTCTACTCCGGCGTCTCTGAGGCTCATCTCCCGCACATCTTCCAGTAACCTCCTTTCTTCCTCGTCTGCGCGCCTCTCTTCCGGCGTTCTCTCGGGAATCTTAACTTCTGGCAGCACCTGATCACCTGGCTTGTACTTCTTCACCATTTCCGCCACGTCGGATTCAGATCTCCTCCTTTCCGGGTTCGCAGCCACAAACATATCGAGGAGAGTGGCGACGGTGGCATTGTGCCTCGTATCGCGAACCTGCGCACGACATGACGGGCAGGTGAAGATGTTTGTCCCTGGTGCGGGCGGGGTCGGTGAGTTTTCGGCCTGCTGCGCTTGGAAAGAAAACCAGTCCTTCAAGCAGGCACCGCAATACGTGTGTAGACAATCGAGCAGAGTCAGAGGCTGGTAAAGGAGCTCGGTGCATATCTAGAAGGCAAGAAGAAAAGTCGGTCAGCGCACATATAATCTCTAGAGTCCTGCAGAATCCAATGGGGGTTTGAAAAAAAGTGCCCCTCTCCTAGGGCGACGCTACAGAGCATTGGATCAGACGACACTTACAGAGCACGTCAACTCCCTCTCCAGATCGAGCGCGGGCTTTGAGGAATCCATGCAGGAACTATCGCTCCGCGCGATCCCTGGATTGCCGGACACAAAGACAATGTCATGAGGAGATTTGGCCAGCGGGATCGCGAGGGGAACATGTCGGTTTAAGACTGGCTGTCAGGCGAGCCTTAGGTGAGGTGGGTGGCGGGGCCGAAAGCTGGGCGCGCCGTGGCCGCTGCAGCAGAAGCACCTCACAGGCTCAAGGCTTACGGGTTCAGGAAGGAAAAAAGGTGTGTAAGGGGTCAGAAATGGTCAGAGACCGCCCTGTGAGGTGACCGCGTCAAATGGATTGGATGCTAAGGGACGGGTCCAGTGGCCTACAGGCTACGGCTGCCCGCTGGCCGCCCCAAGTTGGGTGTCAACCCCACGTTGGTTCCCGCCCGCCGCCGACCCCTACCCCTGCCCTTAGCTTCAAAAAGCATCCCAACTCCCACGCGGAGCCAATAAGCTGAGATCATTGCAACCCCTCCGCTACTTTTTGGGACGGGCTAGCCCCCTGTAGGCTCCAAGTAATACGAACTCAACGCCCACCGACTCTCCGGACTTCTTGAGACTAAAGGTTTAAACTGCGTATTCTCGGCGAGGCATGCGAGCTGCTCGTAATGGTTGAAAACACTGTGGTTTATGTGGTTTTCTAGGCATTGGCCAAGGCAGGCGAGGAATCTCGAGACTAAAGTCATCATGCATGCAAGCAAGGGCTGTACGAGAGAGACCCCGAAAAGTAACATCATCCTTTTTCCTGCAAAGCAACATGGCCAAGCAAAAAGGTGGTGCTGGGCTGACTGTGTGCTCTTACATGGTCTTATTCATGCCGAGCAATTTAACGGATTTCCCCAAACACACGCACGCGCTCATTTGCCCAAGATCGTGGTTGCACAACATCATGTCTTTGCCAGACTCGGCTATTTCGCATACAACTAGTCTTTTCACAAGCATGAAGCTTTTCAAGAGTGAGTCCACTCTGCCTTCTTCTTCTCCGCGAATGCCTTCATGCCAATCTTTTGGTCGTTGCTGCCGAACAAGCTGTGGAATACTCTCCGCTCAAATTCGACACCATCCCTCAGAGGCAGATCCTGACTCTTGTTCACAACTTCCTTGCACGCGTTGATGGACACCCTCGAGTAGCCGGCGATGGTCTCTGCCGTTTTCAGCGTCTCCTCCATGAGAACCTCGTACGAAGGGAATGCCTTGGCCGCAAGACCCCACTTCTCGGCATCGGCACCGCTGAAGGACTTGCCCGTCAGGATCAACTCCATGGCCTTGGACTTTCCGATAGCCCGGGTGAGTCTCTGGCTGCCGCCGGCACCCGGGATCGTGCCGAGCTTGATCTCGGGCTGGCCAAAGTTGGCAGTCTCGGTGCAATAGAGGATGTCGCACATCATGGACAGCTCACAGCCTCCGCCGAGCGCGTGACCGGAAACGGCGGCGATGATGGGCTTCTTGACCTCGGTGGTGAGAAGCGACCACGACTCGATGAAGGACTTGGTGTATGCCTCGGAAAAGGTGAGAGGAGCCATCTCCTTGATGTCGGCACCGGCTGCAAAGGCCTTTTGGGAGCCTGTCAGGACGATGACGGACGTTTCGTCCGACGCGTTGAAAGCCCTGAGCGCATCGTTGAGCTCATGGATGAGGGGAGTGCAGAGAGCGTTCAAGGCCTTGGGGCGGTTCAACGTCACTAAAGTGGATCATGGTGAGCGTCGTCGTCGTAGAGTGATGATTGATTGCGGCTGGAACAGTATTTACCTTGACCAACACCAGGCTTGGGCTGAGAGACCTGAATGAACTCGTATGTCTTGCTGGCGAATCCGCGTGAGAGTCTGGGCAGCGTCGGCGTCTGCATACGCGAGGCCACCGGCCGGAGGTATCTGAGTGAGTTCATGGTGAAGCAGATGAGAGCTCGGGAAGACGCTCAATGTGAGTGAGGTGTTATGTTGTGAGCTATAGTATAACGCGAGATGATTTATCTTGGCCTCGATTGATACAAAGATGTCGTCTGAAATAAATGACACGAATTGTTGATGGAGCTGTGATGTAACAGGTAGGTCAAGCTCCATTTGACGTTTAATCCAAGCTCGAGGATAGCTGGAAAGCATCGGCTCTGTAAAGCCGAGGATACAGTCGGGCGAGGCACAGACACTCGCCGCGCACTGTGACAGCTCCCCCCGCGTCACAGGCTCGATCTTCCAACACTGCAATCACCTGTAGCAGTGGGATCCTAGGCAGATACGGATCCTCTGGCTGGTTCCAGGGTGCAGGCTGCGCCACAGGGGCTGGTTCGGGCCATTTCCAGGGGATCCAATCACTGACGGGCGCAATCCAATCACTGCGCCGGATAAGATTCGGGCGAAAAAGCAGGCGCGGTGCAGCGCGCTGCCAATCTCAAAGGGAAGGGACAGTTTTGTTGCAAGCCTTACGTGGCTTGAATCCATCTCCAGAGATCCCGTCAACCCAAAAATTCGTCCTGACAGATCGCGACAGCGCAGCGGCGGCCTCTTCCCACAGCATCGTCATCCCAGACTTGCACCCTCGTTAACGGCTACATATCCACGCCAACCCACGCGAACAAGCTTATTGCACGAGTATCCCACATCAAAGTTCATTCGCGCAAATACCGCCCAAGATGGACTCTGCCGAGCCGGAACAGACTGCCTTCTCGTCAGTCACAGCCCACACCTCGAAGCTGCAAAGAGTACGACGACGATCAATCCCCCCCGGAGTCTGCCAGCGACATCTTGCTAATTCCCATCGCAGCAATACCAGGCGCTTCTCGATCAGTCAACCCCCTTCGTGCTTTACAGATGGATCGCCACGGGCGTCTGCCTCCTGGGCTTCTTCGCTCGCATCTTCGTGGCGCAGGGCTGGTACATTGTCGCCTACGCTCTCGGAATCTACCTGCTCAACTTGTTCCTGGCCTTCTTGCAACCCAAGTTTGACCCCTCCAACGAGGCTATGGACACTGAGATGGAGGACGGTGGTGTCGGCATTCTCCCCACCAAGCAGGACGAGGAGTTCAAGCCCTTCATTCGCCGCCTCCCCGAGTTCAAGTTCTGGTACTGGGCCACCCGTGCCATCGCCATCGCCTTCTTCTGCAGTTGGTGGGAGATCTTCAATGTCCCCGTCTTCTGGCCCGTCCTGGTCATGTACTGGTTCATCCTCTTCTTCCTGACGAGTACGTTTCCTACCCCCACGCCTTGTCTCCCTGGCATTTCGCCCTTGCACACAGCTGACCTTCCCTCCTTTGCAGTGCGCAAGCAGATTCAGCACATGATCAAGTACCGCTACGTTCCCTTCACCTTTGGCAAGAAGAACTACGCCAAGAACAGCTCCTAAAGGGGGGCCACGCAACTTTACGACGCGATGGAATCAGCGGGTTTTTACGAGAGACAAATGTCGTTGTCACGCCCGTCGAGGTGGGACAAGTGTAAGAGTCTAGGCACGTGAAAGGGAAGAAAAATTAGACAGTGCGCGAGGATGAATACACATTTTTGACGAAGTCTGGATGGCGACGATGGGCGAAGACAAACTGTATGTACCTATAGAAAGGAGGCCACGGGTATGAGTGCATGGATGGTTGCGACGGGCCAACTACACGGGGCGCATCAGGAGGTCCTCCTGCACGGTCGGGAGCCATTGCCCCGTTGATGAGTGACGGTTTTGCTTTGAAATCATTCATCTCATACTACGTTTTGTAATAGAGAGGACAAATCTGTCTCTGATTCTTCATCTACGACACTGCGTCTTCTTTTTTTTTTTTATGGTGTACGTTAACGTCAAGCTTCCAGGTTGACAGCTTTGGGGGGTGCTGTGTCTTCGTCTGATAGAGCTGATAAGGCTACAGGTCGAGGTCCGGGCGTTTGGCTGGCGCAACCACAGTGTACAGGTAAGGTACCCCAAACTCCAGCCTCGTGGAACTTTTCTGGGCCAATTGCACCTTCCTAGTCAACGCGACCGCGACGACGACAGCTCCCCGCTGCCAGTACTCGAAGCCATCCTCCCCTCCTCAGCAATTCAATTCAACCCTCAATTGCGACTCAGATATCGAAACGATCCCACCAAACGCACACGCATTCAAAAGGCCACGATGTCGTCCTCGGCGCCTCGCGGCGGCGAGCGCATGATCCATCAGGACTTCATTGCCAGAATCCGATATTCCAACGCCCTCCCACCGCCCCCTAATCCTCCCAAGCTCCTCGACATCCCAAACACTGGCCTGGCTAGCGGGCAGTATACAACGCCGGGATTTGCATCACGTCTGGCAAGAGAACAGCCTCTCAACATCGAGGTCGATGCGGAGCTCGGCATGCCCTTGGACTTGGTAGGCATGCCGGGTATCTTTGACGGAGACGAGAGCTGTAAGCGCAGCCGCGTTGTACCAAAGGGGAGCTCAGTACTGACATCGATACAGCTATTCAAGCCTCTCCGCATCCGCCTGCCGTTCATCCTCACGATAGAGCCCTCCTGAGACCACTGTCGACCCTTGGCCGAGCTAAGAGCAACGCCGACGCATCAGTCTCCTTCCTGAGAAGAACAGAATACATTTCCTCCGTAGCACCCAGAAAGGCTGGCGTCGCCGCGGGAGCATTCATCAACCCCAAGATCAAGCGCGCAGAGAAGCGTCGCTCCCCCGAGCCGGACAAAGACTCACCGGCCGCCATCAGACGCAAGATCGAAAAGAGCTTCGAGAGCGCCGAGCGCTTCCTCAGCAACCCGACCCGCCATCGCCACCCGAGCAAACCAAACGTCCATCTCACGCAGTCTCTGCCGCTGCTGCCCGACCACGACGCCTTCCCCGACTCGGGCGCCTACGTCACCGTCAAGCTCCTCACGAACCCCGTGGCCAGCGCCAACAAGTATGACAGCCGCCTGCTCAGCGGTCTGCTCCGCCCGCTGGACAGGAGCCCCGAGGAGAACGAGGCCTTCCAGGCCGCCGTTGAGGCCCACGAGCGCGATCCTGCACGCAACCCCAAGCCCGCCAACCTGATGGACTACAGCTTCTTCCTCCCCAAGACCAAGACGACGGGCGACAACTTCCGGGCTAAGTTCGATCCAGAGAACCCCGACCGCGACGACGAATCGCTTTACACGTACCAGAGCGGCTCCAACCCGTGCTTCCAGTTCTCGCGCCTGCGTGCGTATGAGACGACAAAAGAGATTGAGCTGGACCACAACACAAAGTACAGCGAAGAGGTCATTCTCGCCTTCAACGACGAGCCCTCTGCGGGCGGCAGGCCCAAGGCGGCGTACTATTATCCGGTCATCCAACGCACGACCATCCGTCCTCAGCGCGCCAAGAATATCGCTCGTACCCTTAGTCAGGTGGACGACGAGACGCAGGTTGTCAACGAGGTGGAGATCTCCATTACCGATCCCAAGGGGGCCCCGGCCGAGAACATGAAGCGGTACAAGGAGAAGCCCATTGGCTATGTCGAAGAGGCCGAGCCGGTTGAAGAGACTTCTCGTGCGCCTGGCACTCCCTCGGACCGGGACGCTGACGGCGATGCCGATGGCGATGAGGAAGATGAGGATTGAAGAGGTGGCGCGTTGAGTCAGAGGGGAGGCGCGGTGATGTAACATCAGTTCCTTTTTCACAAACCATTTAGGCGTTTGGACGTGGAGAATTAAAAAAAACAGGGCAGTCGCGATGGTGGCCATTTTAGACTTCATGGATGTCACAATGATGAACTCACTCTCACGCGATTGTCATATTGTCATGATTGAGTACGTCCAATCGACGCATTGACGGACTTGCCAACCTTCATCAAGAACAAAGCAGAGGGATGGTGTCAAGTAATACGTAGTTGTCATGACTTTGAATTAAGTATACGTAGCTCTTCTCATACAGCGTCTCGAGCTCGGCGGGGTTCTTTCTCCCCGACTCGTTCCCATCATGTGTAATTTCTGCCAAAGGTGATCCTCCCGTTAAGCATACTTTGGAGACCGAGCAGAAATGAGTAAGAAAAAAGGTACAAAGAAAGCAAAATCTCATGTGGTATAAGGGAACAACAGACAGACTCTCTAAGAACGGGAAAAAAAAAAAAGCAACAACGAAAAACAGACTTTGATATCGTCCCTTCCTCCTCTCCCTCCCGTTTCATAGCGTAAAGATGTTTACCCAGAAAACTCCTTTTTTTTTTCTGCTTTTTTCCCCATGGGGAAAAAGAAAAAAATAATACATAGAAGACGCAAATAACGTGAATCTGGCCAACGGTGATGTGTGGTCACCTGGCAGGCACGAACGCAGCAGCGGGTGTCTACACCGGCGGTTCTGGGATAGTTTCGACAGCGAAGCCGATGTTATCTCTATTGTCGTCAATGACGCGACCGTACCTACGTCGAAATAATTAGCAAACATAGGTGATTTCTTTGGTTGGTAAAACTCACTCTAAGAGGAGGCGGAAGAACCAGACCTCCATATCCTCCTTGCGAAGCACCTTATTCGCCCAGTCGCGACTGCTGAGAGCCATGCGCTCGGCTTCGTTGCGCCCCAGCGCGCCGTCGCCAAAGAAGCGCACGCTCTCGAGCCAGTCGTCGCCCTGCAGACTCATGGGGATGTAGTGCGCCCAGGGCTTAAGCCACTCAAAGTGCCACTCGCGGAAGATGGCGAGCTTGAAGACGAGGGAGCGTGATTGCAGGAAAGCATAGAAGCGTCCCGAAAAGGCGTTGCCGTCCATGTCGAGGAGGTACTTGTACTTCCATGCGTCCTGCTGCTCGGCGTGGCCCTGGATCTTGAAGAACTCCTTTTCGGCGTCGCAGTCGCCCGGGTCGCACTGCCCGACGTGCGAGAAGAAGACGTCGACGATTTCGCGGTAGTCGCCGCGAGGCACCTCCTTCACCTCCCACTTGGGGGTCTGCTCGTCACCGCGGTTGATGAAGATCTTTGCCTGGTCGGCGGCGTTGAGCTTCTGCACGAGATGCTGACGGTGCTGGCGGCGCCAGCCGCCATTGCGGGAGAAGCCGCCCGTCGTGGAGCCGCGCCAGTAGAGGCGGTCCTGCTTCTGCTCCCAGAGCATGTCCTTTGACTCGTCGTAGGCGACCTTCTTATACCAGTACCAGGGCGAGGGGTAGAGGATATCGTTGTAGGAGGAGATTTTGGACTGGGAGAAGATGGGAAAGAGGTCGTGGACGATGTTATAGGCGTTGGGGCGATCGAAGAAGCCGTAGGTCGCGCTCAGGGAAGGCGAGAGGCAGATGTCCGACATGGCGGTGACGTTGTAGACGAAGCCGAGCTCGCTGACTCCGTACTTGCTCATGTCGTCAGACAGCTCGTCATCCTCGAGACCGCGCGAGGGGCTGTCGGGTGGGCAGGACATGCGAGAGTGCGTCCAGGTGGGCTGATGGGCGAAGACGTTGAAGCGGGTGCGCTTGTACTCGTCGATGATGTTACCTTCGCTAAGGCCGGCGGCGCGCTTCGTAAAGGCGTTCTCCGGGTTAATGGCAGCGTTCGCCTTGGGCATGTTGACGTCCTTGGCGCGGCTGACGAGGCGTGCGAGGTCCTCGTGAGGGACGACCACGCGCGGCTCGTCGTGGATGTTGAAGGCGATATCCATGCTGGGCAGGTGCTCGATGAACTTCTTGATCATGCCAGAGGTGGCATCGCGCTGCCAGTCTGAGCCGCCCTGAATGTGCTTGATCTTGTGGTCCCGGATCAGGAGGCCGATCAGCTTGTTATCGAAGCCCAGAGCCTCCCGCGCCCGCTCCCGTATCGTCGCCGGCTTCAGACCCCAAAAGGGTGTGAGCATCTCGTGTATCATGTCGAACTCGTCAATGAGCTGTACGCTGCTGGCCTTTGCGAACTCGAACCACTTGTCAAAGTTGGGGGGCGGCGGGATGTTGTAGCGGCGCTTGTACTCCTTGACGGCATCCTCGAGCGTCTTGGACTGGCGCTTCAGCGTATCCTGGAACTCCTTCTCGGCGCTGGTCATGAGGTGCCACATGGGGTGTGACCCGGTGCCGCCAGCGGACTTTGGTCGTCTGTCGGGAGGAGGGGGGGCGGCGGCGGCATCGTCACTGAGTGTCTGTTGATCTTGCGGGGGCGGAGGGGGTTTTTCGGAGCCTGGTATGGGGACTGTCGGTCGTCGATCGGAGGGAAGTGTGAATACTGTGTATGCGCATATCAACAGGAAGACGAGTAGAATGACAACCGTCCATTGACGACGGCGCATGGTCGGTTGCTGGCTGTCAGCCTGCCCCTTTTTGTGGCGGCGGGCTGCGTCGCTTTTGTCTCTCGAGCGTTGGTCGGGTGCTTTCGGGGGATGGGGGAGAGGGCCAGCAGTTTATCGCAGTTCGGCCTATTGCGTATATGAGGATGAAGGAAAAAAAGACGAAATGAGTTCAGGGCCTCATTGCAGGAGTGAGCAGAGATGCCTCACGAAATAGAAGTGGACAGCAGAGCTTCGTAAGGTAGTGAGTGCGTCGTGGATAAAGGAAAAGTATCCTAGTGGTCTGGTTTGGTATCGGTGGTTATGGTGGTAATGGTAATGGTGGTACGTTTCGATGCAAGTGCCAAACTCAGGTTTCCATTGGATCTGGGCCCGGCGGACACTAATGTCAAGGAAGTCTGTGGACTTTCGGGTGGTCGACGTGCCCCTAGAAAAAAAAAAGTCGCCTGAAAAGGAATATGGCTTAGAACCTTGGTGCAGCGCGTCCGTGGACCTTGGTTCCTTGAGTAGTGGCGCCGCGCCCGTGGTAGCAGGGGTTGTAATTGGATATGCTTGGAACAGGGGAGGAGCTTAGTCTTGGGGGCACCTCGAGATTCTGGGGGGGGGGGGGGCAGGGGGCTAGGCCTCTGAAAGACTCAGAGACTGAGCCTCCTTTGGAAAGCTTGGTGGGAACGACTACTATTTTTCATGACGCTTCCATAACGAGAGTATGGCGGACCAGGGGACGCAAGACATCCAGAGCAAAGCAGTGGGTAGACGCTCAACCGGTAAGGTAAGGTAGGGAGGCATAGAGGTACCGGCGTCGACAGCGACTTTGACAAGTCCCTTGCACCGTACCTGCTCCCCGGAATCCCCCCTGGGAAAGTATAAGATACAAGAACCAGCTTTCCGGAATTTCGCCCGCAACTAGCGCATCTCTTGAGTCGAACTGAGACACGACAACTGGAATGGGGAGACAAAGATCTCTTTGCTCACATTTTCCATTGAAAGAGAGAGAAATAGACAGATCGCCGGGTTGTGGGGGTGCAACTGGGAGACCAGGACACTTTTGGGTGAAAAGCCTTTGACCCGCTCGATTCTTCGAGCCATCTTTGTGTGACCGTGTGAATCCGCAGGATTCTTCTTGGCCAAAACATCATTTCATCCAGAAACGTTAGAGGCGTTGAGAGACATATGTCTCTACGCCTACGCCATTTTTCTTGTCTCGAACGGGAGTGGTCCGCTCAGGGGAACACAAGGCTTACCTAAGGTAAGGAATCTTGGACAATTGCCGGTATTACGAGTCCCCGAGATCTGGATTGCTTTGGTCGACGTGCCGCGTTTGTCAAATTGCGATGCATTTCAGACGCCAAGTCTTCCGGTCCTAGACTTGCCTCACTTTCTTTTTTTCCAAATGCATTGCAGAAAGTATGCAGGAATGGCCTACGCATCTGCGGGTGTTGGCGGGAAGGATGCGCAAAAGAAAAAGTTCTTCGGGACTATGCGAGCTGATGCAAGCCAGACACTCGCCGGCCCCATTTTCGTCCTTGTTGGCATATTTAGATCACCACCAGAAGTTCTATCAAACAAATTCAAATTTCCCAAAACTTCAAACTCATAAAAAGGGAAAGTTCGGTGAGTCTGCCATCTACACCGAGACTCTCGAGAAGCAACTTCCAAAAACAATGCACGACATACCTGCATCGCAGCATTGCCCCATCACGTGGAGGGCACAGAGGGCATAAATGCTACGGCCGAGACCGCAAAAACCGCCAGAAGCGGAGCCAAAATGCCCTCGAGATATCGAAAATATGCACGACATACTTGCATTGCAGCGTCTCGCCATCACGTGTATGTGGTCGCAGAATGGGCCTCGCCTCTGTGCCAATGTATGCCGTTTCGGGTAGTCAAGGTGAAGGGGCTGAGACGAATCATTCGTGAGGGCCTCACCGAGAGTTGATCTTGCGACCTCGGGATGTTTTCCCAGGAAGACAGGCACTATTTCTTAAAGGGGAAATAACAACGCTGGACCCCCTCATCTTGGGCGAAGCTTCATGTTCTCTGTATGTCAGTTGCCGAGGTCATGTTTCCGTTGACCCATGTAGTGATCTCTGCTTCGTTGGCAGCGTGATTTTGGTGCCAAATACGCTGGCCAATATGAGTACGATGACTCGAATGCGAGAAAGCGGCTAGAAACTGCCCTTTCTCTCTCCGTATGTCTGTATAGATACGCCGGCCAAAACGACTGATGAGACAACTCGCCGCTGCTCTGTTCTCCATATCACCACGACTCATATTGCTGGTCTATTAGGCTCCCGAGTAATATTTCATGGAGAACACGAATAGAGGGCTGGTGAGAGAAAGTAAAGAGTAAGATTTCTTGGTGGTGAT